TTTGTCTGGTCAGGTAGCTGAGCTCTCGTTATAGGTGTAGGGAACATGAATCCGATTGTCTCGTCACCCTCCGCATTCATGACTGTCTAACTAGCAGTTTGATAGTTCATGTGTCGGTTCCACTTTGGAGGGTCAAATCATTTTGACTGTGGCTGCTGACTTTCCTCGGATGCTTATCTAGTAAATATATTAAGCGAACTCTATATTTTGTTTATTACTTCCACTCAGCAACGTTTAGTTCGTGCTAAATAATTTCACAGATTAAACCCTAATGGACTTAGTTTCCACTATTGTCTGTGGGACTATGGTGACCTATGCCGCGCCTTGTGATAGACAGCTCAGTATTTCACCGTTTTTGAGACATCTCATATAAAAACACCGTTTCTTAACTAAGAGCTTACAATCAAATGTTTTGTTTATCTTGGATTCCATCAACACCTATACTGCTTAAATGACTTTTTCAACTACTGCCCGTGAAGTAGAATAATTTGTAATCATTCTTTCGCCTTAAAAATAGTCATGCAGTAAAAAGCAATTTATTGTCTCCAAAATCATTGTAGAATGATAAGAACTACACATTACACTTTGTTGGTGCAGAGTTAAGGTAAGGAAATTAGGCTGTCACATATAAGTGACACTGGTAGCAAAGGTGGCAATTTCGATCAATCACGTCTAAATCTCCAATACCAACACCGTATGGTCTTGGTAACAATTCTGGTGTATCAGCAATTTGAAGTGATGAAATTTATAGCTATCGGAAACATAAAAGAGGTGGTGTTACCCCCCTCCAAACTCACACCCCCTTCCTCCAATTTCCGTATTCAACTACTGCTACTTCTGTTCCTACTGCTGAAGCAGACAATTGTAGCTTTGCATATATGGGCGGTTGCTAAGGCGACGACTGTTGCCATCAAGTGATGCCCTCTTGTTTTTAGACTCCAAGATCACCGATGGTAGTTTGGTTCCGGTAGGGGAACTTGCAGAAGACACACATGTCTCGTCTAGTAGATTCACCCATCTGCGTATGAATATTTGAAGGGCGTTTCAGTCAATCCGGAGTGAAAACTACTACATTAAATCACCTAATGCCTCGATATTTAAATCAAATCTTTAACGCAGCTTAGGTATGGAAATGCTCATCTAGGGCGTCCAACTTAGCCTCATGATTGGTAATGAAGGTAGAAGGGATTAGGATTTGATCGAATGTTGAGAGGAAGCCATTTTATGCAAATGTCCGTTAAAATTTTGAGGTGTGAATCAGCACGGCCAAAATTGTCAAGTAAATGCAGCATTCCGGCCATCAAGGAAGAATTCATAGCATTCAATCATCATTTTTACTAACGGGTAACTGAACTTCTAATTACCATATAAAGAAGGCTGGATGTCTTTTGCAGACACAAATATTTAAGGATGGTATGATTTCTGTCACAAGACACCGCGTATTTTACCAAAGGCTCTTCCATGCACTCACCCACTATCATTGCGGCATACAATCGAAATCGACAGCCTCCGGGTCGGATTGACACAAGGGTACAATTCTGGCGCTTAAGACCACTGCCATGGAATATGGTTTGATGCCTATCCGAGTCCAAAAGTCCCGGTTTGACCTAAACGACCCGCCAATGCTTGTCATTTCAGCACTTTCGATCTTGCTGTCATCACCCTTAGGGCGCAGAAAATTAAAAAAACTTTAATCAGTCAAGGAGATTATTCTTCCCATATTTTGTTGAACAGCCTCCGGAACAACGAATTCTGTCTACTAAGGGTGGTTTAGAAACGGTTGGTCCCTATTTTAACTCTACATAGAGGGGAAACCAGATTCATGTTGTAATTTCGTCGCCCTGATACTAAAGTTATAAATTGGAAAGAGGAATTTTTGAAGACGAGTTTACTCGGAGTTACACGGGCGAAATATAAGAGGGAGATTAGTTAAAATGGAGATATTTGGCAGTGGGTGTGCCCGAATGAGTTTGTCATGTGAGTTCTGCCTGACAGTGTAGTTACACCTTAGAGTTGTGATGTAGCAACTGAGATTGCCTTACAAATCAGGGCACAAAAGTGAGACGAAAAAACATAAATGAGCCCACCTTTATCGCATCTCTAACCTCTCCTCAAATTCGTGGGCTCTTTTTCATCATCTTGGAGGCAACCGATACTAATTCTTTGAAGTGGAGAATTGGAGCACGCTTGAAGGAAATACCAGAAACTGAGACACGCATCTATTTTGTGGAAAGGAAAATCAGGCCACATTTTCAAAATGAGGTAAGGGAGATGGAAGAGATGGTGGTGGCAACAAACGTCAGGGAAGATGAACGCTTCCACCAGCTAAAAACTGAGGTGTTTCAATATGGTTATGACCCACGCCATTAAGTGGCTGTTCGGTCATTGGAAGGTTGTCCTGACTCTGTAAAAACAGTGTCGTCGTGGGACGGTGAGACAACTAGACTGTTGCTGTTGATGCTCCATTGAGATCATCTCAGTGGAGGCGCTGCTGCAGCAATAACCAGAATTCATCGCAACAAATACCAGTAAGGAATTATGGAAGTCGAGTAGGTTGCAACGAGTGATCATGTTGCAGATCAAATGAGTTCCGTGGTCATTCAAGTTGTGCCGCAGCATTTCTCATCAGGGCTAGGCGCTGACAGGAGTGCGCAGACGTGAGTCAATGGGTCACACCAAGTGATGACAACACTCGCGAACATAATGTTGAACTTTGCCTTAGCAATTTCATCAACCAGAATGTGGGGCAAGAGCTTGTCACCACCACAGCCTTCAATGCATCTGCTCCATCCACCTCACATTGTGCTCCTCATCACCAAATCCACGAGGCAAATCTCTTGTCTGGAAGAGAATGCTGCACACACTTCATCGTCCTATAACGCAACCAACACCATGCATTGCACAAAGTGCAGTGGAACCAGTCACTCACTCCACTGCTGTTTACGAATGCGATGCAAGCACAGTGCGTACAACCGCATTGGTACAGTAAGCGACCTCTGTTGTTCTGGGCAAGAAGACAGCTTCCGCCTTGACACGCACATTGCTGCACCGTGGGAAATTTGGCGAGCCTTCTTTCGGTAGCATGCTTTCAGTGGGCCAGGTACTTCGCACTTCACTGGATCAGAAACACGGACCACTTAAATCCACCCACACTATCCTTTTTGATGTAATGGTCTTCTGAGGATCCGATAGTATGTAATTTGGAGGCCCATGACGGGTACTAGCGCATTATTAATGGATAATTAGTAATATGGTCCTTTGCTTAAAGGTCATTGCAATGCAAACGCATCCAGCAATTTCTCCCGCAAAATCCGCTAGTCACTAACCAACCTAAAATAAGCTACGGACATTTAAAGCTTCTTGAGGCAACAGCTTAAATAGGTTTCGTTGCATTTCTTCCTCAGGTTATGTAATTATTAGCTCATTCTTTAATGCCTATCATATTAGCTGTGCGATAGTTCCAAATTTATGTGCCGGTGGCAAGTAAATTGACTTTATCATTAATCAAGAATGCAGGAAGTTCATGAGGGTAATCCATCTCCTTGAGCCATTCTTCACCAGTATCTTCCTATCTGAAATATGTCTAAGTAAAAGGTTTTGCCACCGAACATCGAACCTTCCCCGAATGCTACACAACAAACCCTGCTATAGACTTTAACAGTTCTCCGACAGAGATAAACCCCTTTATTTGGGCAGACGAGCTTCTACCACGTCAGGTTCAGTCACCGCTTTAAGAGAGTGTAAAGACAACTGTTGTTAAATCTTATACATCGTGGAAGAAAATATGGAATCCTTTAAAGGAGGTGGAAAAGGCGTGTTTTGTACGTACCATAACAAATGCAATTATTATCTTATTTAGTAAACACTTTTTTTGGTTTTGTTGGCACAGAAGGCTTGGCCTTTACAAAACCACTAGGTGACACGCTCTTCTGCCCACACCAGCGGCCCCTCATCCGTATTTTACGCTGGCAAAACATATATCGGTCTGGTATTATGACTTTCTTCTCTGGAAGAGTCCCGGAGCTCTACTTCATTGGCAGAGGCATGCAAGTTGGACTCGAAAGAGCATTTACCATGATATATTGCTGAATGCTAAACATAAACGCTACAAATAGGAGAGTGCATGAGGAGCCCTAGCAGTAGGTTTGGAAAAAGGGGTCTACTTCCTGCAATCACCCGAGTCCCGTGTTCTCCAGGACTGTGATTAAACAGCTGTAGTGATAATAGCCGTGAAATGCCTTGGAATGTTGGCTATGGGGGTGTCCACGGTACCCGTATGGGGACGTCAATGGGGTAAGCACGAGACTTCTTCTCCACCTTTCTACAAGCTGGATGGAACTCAGACAGAGATATGACTGGCCAGTACTGAAGTGAGAACTTAGTAGTAGAGATGAACAGACTGAAAAATTAATTCTTCAAAATATATTCCAAACCTTATACAAGACGAAACTCCAACTCCAGTAGAAATTCCCAGAAGGGTTCAGTGATGTTGCAGTCAGATTTCGTTTCAGCTACATGATTGTTTCAGGGTGTTTTTCTTAACAGCACCGATTACGTTGTGATGGCCTACGTAGGCGTTTGACCAAGGGGAGAGCCGGAGACAACACTCAAAAGAGAAGAGAGCTATATAATGATTGCATTGTTTGTTTATCTCACCGCTGTTGTTTCGAGGGCACTTAAGGCTAGGCGTTTGTACTTTAGTTGGGCGGCATGGACTTCGGATCATGCCAGTGGCTCCCAGTCCTTCTATAGTTTGATGCTTCTCATTTTTGTCCTAGTATCGTCATCTATCGTCTTCAGTGAAGTCTAGAAGGCCATATATAGAGTTCCATATCAATTATCCATGATTAATGAATACCTTTAAAAGAAAACAGGTAACGGGACTGCTGAGACGAGTTGCCTCAAATACCTAGTATTCCATAAAATTTGTGAACCACTTCCGAAAGCCGGTTTTGTGGGTAATTTCGGCTGATATAAATGCCTGTTTTGGAGCTTGCCTTCATGAAAAATGTGTCATTGAAGTATGCTCGAATCGCAGAAGCCATAGTTTTGCACAAGAATAAATTTTCTTTTGCCTTGACGACATGGACCTCTGGTGATGCACATCGATTTGAAGCCCCTCCATACACTAACAGTAATCTCTACTTCCAAAATAATACTGATTACGGCTTCAGAGTAGAGCCATGGAGACATTAAGATGACAGCGACCCGAGACAAATGAGGAACAGAATCATTTTCGCTGACAAGCTAAGGGTTGTTATGGCGTCTACTTCTGCCAAGTTCTTAATCTCCCGTCCCAGAAAACAAACATGTTTTAACTAGTCTGAATTAATCCTAATCTTATTCCCTTAATAGAGTTGATTCTGCGAATAAGAAGCCATTCAAAATATGCACGATTACAACATCAGCGAAGGCTCGGTAGCTTGCACGGGTAGAATATATCTGTATCTCTTAAATAAAAAATTGTGAGTTATTTGTGATTAGGAATTTTTACATATTAAATAGAATTAGGCCTTATCTTGTTCAGAAAGCCAACTTGTCTTAATTGGTCCTGTCACCAGTGTTTGTTGAGCATGCCTGAGTAAATTAATGGTGTGCGACTAATGCGAGCTTAAAGCGAAGTCGGTCCTCAACATGTTTTTTTCGGAATTCCAATCACATGGAGGCAAAAAATGTGACTGCATCAGGCATCGCCTTATAGCACAAAACTTGTGCTCCTCTAGTAAGTGAATCAGGGGTAAAATTTGAAGGGATTAATTCGGGACAGCCCCAGTCCCAACCACTTTATCCAATCATCTCCTGCATTAAGGAAGAGGAATTGAGTGGATTTAAGTGGTTCGTGTTTCTGATCCAGTA